TCATCCATTTCGTCTTCCATTCCCTGCTGCGTATTACGTCCTCCGATACCACCCACGATAATATATAAGAGAGAACTTCCCCACAGCTGCGTTAGCATTTTCTCGGCTATGGTCTCTGCCCTTTGGATGTTGCAGTTGATTGAGTCAGCCCAACTGCGATGCACATTCTATCACTCGGTCTTTGACCAGTCTGACCGATCCTGTTCCAGTCAGTTCCGACAATCATGACTGTCTAGTCTGCCTAATTCCCACCGTTGGACTAGACTGGACTTTGGCCGGACTAACTAGTCCAGCCCAGTCCCGAGCCGACCATTCGGAACCCTGTGACGAAACGTCTGGACCGAGTAAACAACATGGTTTGGGGAAGGTAGGTGTGCTTCAAGTAAGTACGAGTAAGTACACCTGTTTTCGCTGACCTTGCTTATGGGATACCTAGGCGCAATTCTTGCCCCTTAAAAACTTTACCCCCCCGCCTTCCATTCATCGGCTCTCCCCCCTCTACATCGCCATCCTCACATTTTCTCGCAAATTGCTGTGCTTTCGAATTGCTTCCGCCCCCGAGCGAGCCCTTGGATGGCTTCTCTCTTTTTTTCTTTGCGGTAATCCTGTTAGCCCATATGGGTTCAGAGATTCCTCCACTCACCCACAGAACGGGAGAACTCCTTGTAGAGTTTTGTTTGCTGCTGGTTAGCCGGAGTGGTTTTTTACCCTATTCAAGTCTTTTTACATTTTGCTTTATTTCATATGGGCTAACGACAATGAATATAGGTCCGGATGGGGAGGCCGTCGGCTCCCCTTCGTCTGGAACTCCACCTGATAGCCCGCCCGGATCGTGTTCGAGCGATCCGGATGATTATGAGAGCAGTGGTGCCTGCCAACACACTCGGGTTTGCCCGGGCTCCACTAGCCCGGCGTTGAGGTAGTGGCTTGATAACGGGCCTTACCACTGCGAAATCCTGGTGTCTTATGGCTCTGGGAATTCTACCTAGACGAGCGGTCGGGAGGGGTCCACCGTCTCATCTGCCTTCGGGGAGTTCTCAGAACGATATGAATCGGATGCGCCGTCGCCATCCGAAGGATATCCTGGGAACGCGACCCTCGATTCCGTCCTTTATTCATCTCCGGAGGAACCTACTGCAGGGTACGGCTCAGATGCCGAGTCATCGGCACTCGAGGAGTGCCCCCGCTGCTCGTTTCCTGGGGCATCCTTCCCCCGTCTTTCCCCTCCCTCTGCTTCCCCCCCCTCCTACCATTCCGTATCCTCTGCCCTCCCCCCCACTTCTACCACTCTCTCCCGTCGTTCCTCTTCCGCCTCCTCTACCTAGCCTCCGTCATCGCTAGCTGCGGCCATTAGGAACCTGCGAGGGGTTGGTGCTGGGACACGATTCAGATGCCGGGTCATCGTCGTTTGAAGAGCGTCCGGGGGTCTGGTTTCCCGGGGCTTCCTTCCCCCGCCTCCCCCTCACACTCCCCTCCTTCCCTCATCCTCCCCCTCCCTCTGATTGCTTCCCCCCTCCTTCATTTTCCCCGCTTCCCCCTTTACTCTAGTTCCCCTCTCTCCTACCTTTCCCTCCCACCCACCCACCCTCCCCCTCTTCCTTTCGCCTGCCTTCATTTTCCCTCATCCGTTTCCCATTCTTGCCTTTTCCCCTCTTATCACTTCCATTTTTTCCTTTTTCTTCCTACCCTTTCCCTTCCTTCTCCCCCTCCCTTCCCTTCCCTTCCCCCTCCCAATTCCTTTGCATTTTCGCGACCCCAGAAAAAGAACCGACACAACTAGCCCCTGGCTCTTTGGTTGGAGATTTCGCCCCTGGATCGGGAGCGTTCTATCCCTTTCTAAAATTTTGCTATATGAACCTACCTTTTGGTTTATTTAGGTACCTCAGCTTGGATTGACACCTGGACATGGTCCTGTGGCCCCTCACCAAGATCGATCCCATCAGTTTGCAGTGCTGGTGGTCGGGATATTATTTTGAAAAAAAGACTTGCCCGCGTGAGCCCCTTTTTTCGAACGCATTACTATTTCCAAACGTGTTCTGGAGATACTCAAGGTCTATTATATAACTCACTGGTTTACCTAGTATAACGTGGCAGTTTTTGGCTAGCCTGGGGGCAGATGGTAATTCCAGAATCTAAAGTTTGGTATGTAGAGCTCTTGTTTTCCCAGTAGGTTTGCTCCCCGTTTCCCTTGATATGCATAAGTTAATACGGCGATTGATGTGGCTAGATCGAGTGGTATTGTTTGGAGGGTTGAAATCATATATCATCACTCGGGACATAGATTTGGAACATGTTCTGGGATATATTTTCTGGGTTATCCCCCCCCCTGGTGGAAGTGTGTGAATTTCCCTATAGTTGATAAATAATGGCTAGCGTTGTGGCTCAAGACTAACAGCTCATCATGTTCACAAGTTTACCGCGACGGTACAACTCTTAGGTTCCGCCTGGGGGATGGGATACGGAGAGGAAACCGTAGATTTCCCCATTCACTGGGACATCTATCATAGGTGGAGGTTCTCAAAGCACTCGCGTTATTGTTTTTCCTGTGGTATGAGAGGGTTAGGGTTGTGGCCTGTCCGCACAGTGAATGAACCGGCCAGTAAATACTAGAAATCTAGCAGTCAGAGAGTCTTTTATACGAGCTTGCCCAGTGCAGCATAGTGCTGCCGTCCCGGTTGCCTCTGTACATTCTTACGCAAATTACCCGGTACCGGTACAGTACATATGGGGGGTTGAGTTCCATCCAGGAAGTATTTCCCCCAGAACCTTTATTTCTTCTGAAAGGATGATCGATAAAGATTATAGCTACAGCGAAACGAACGGTGAAGTGATGAAATAGCGAAATGGTGAAACGAAACCCAAGATCCCACAAACCAATACAGGATCGCACAACTCCCGGGGGCAGAAAGCTCTTTTTCACTGCCACATCAACCAAGGGTAAATACCAGAATAGCTATAAGAACAAGCATGGAAAACAAGTCTCCCCATCCTTCCTGGGTGTGTGTCCCACTTATTTGCAAACTTGATAGCTCACAAAGGAAAAGACAAACTTCCACTGTCCATAGTCTCCGCACATCCAATACTCTGAGAATCAAACTCTCTGGCTCTCAACCATCACTTGTACCATTCCTTACAATATTTCCCCACTGTGCGTAGCCTTTCTAGGTTCCTTCCCGCTGATTCATTGATCCAAAACTCCTGCGTATGCCTCATAAATGCTTTTCCCGCAAGCTAAAACATGTCATGACCCAAAGCGCTTTCCCGGAGACCCCGCAGAAAAACAAACTATCCTGAGAGCAGGCCGGGCAGCACCTCACTATTTCCAAAAATTTTCCTCGCCAAAGATAAAACTGAAAATACCTGTTCAACCGGAGTGTGCCCCATCACTTAATTATTATTTAATTACTATTTTAAAGATTGGTTTCAAGAACTCGCACCCAAATTCAAATCACCCGTAACCACCTTAGTTTTCTGTGTACTGCTATTCAAAATGTACCTCATTACTATTTCTAATCTTCGTGGATCGAAGATGGAACTCGACCAAAGAATTGGAGGTCTCAGAACGAAATCTTAATCTAATCGTCCAGATTACTACAATCACTGTTTGAAGGAAATAAGATGTACACAATTTATCGCCTCCAACGCTGCTCTTGAGTATTTGATGATGCCAAGAAATTCGACTCCGCAAAGGAGAAGCTTGAGATGTTTGCCGCTAGTCTGGGAAATGGCGATGAGGGTTATTCTGGGAGGTTAAAAGGTACATTGATTCTCATCCACTCAGGTTAGCTATGCTAGTTTGGGATGTGTGGGCTCAATAGGGGGCGGCAAAGGGAAGCCAGTGCTGGGAATCTTGTGGCTGAGTCGACCTTACGGTGGAGTGAAATTTTGCTGTCCCAATTGTTGAATACAGTTGCACCCGGGTGATAACAAATGCCAAAACTTCAGGCTTTTATATTCGTTAACGTGGAATGTTGACCAAAATCAATTATAGTGAGAGCCGTTCGTACAGGGGCAGGGCGGTAAATTACTAGAAGTTGTATCCGTAGCAGTGAGTTTTCCCATATAAAGGGGCCCAATATACCGGGGTTCAACGGCACAGCTAATCCTAACCTGGGAAACCGTGATCTTCCTCACTCACCCTCCATCCACTGAACTAGGCATTGGATGGATGGCAGGAACAACGAAAAGAATGGCGTGTAACAATCTAGGCCATACCGCAGAGTACCTTCTACTCAAATATATTCTAAACCCATAGGAGACTTGAAAAATTGACAGTAGGTACAAAACTCTCTTGAGAACGTAGATTTACCAACACAAATGCCACAAACCCTCTCCGCTTCTCGGCCATACCCTACACATCACCCCGCGCCCAGATCCTGCTGCCAAGAGCCGCCATACTAAACAGCCTCCTGACACAGGAGATGGCAATCCGAAGCCTCGGTAGCGTGTGCGTACCCGGATGCTTGTAGCGCCAGTCTGGAGAGGTAAGATATTGGGCATTCGAAACCGAAAACAAAGAGTGAGATTGGCGGGTTTGTATATGATCAGTGGTAGTTGCAGTTCCAGTCATGGAGTGAGGGGAATATTTTCGGTCGGACGGATATGTAGGTTCTTTAGTAGGACGGTCTAGCCGTCCGGGTTTGTGTGAGTATTTGATAGTGTAGCCCATTTTTCAGAGCAGAGGAGGAAAATAATATGGGGAATTTCAAAACGGGGAAGGCGGAAGGTGGGTAGGATATTTCAGGAAGGGAGGAGAATTGAAGAAATCTACGGAGCTAAGGTTCGGTAATTGATTGAGTATCGTATAATTAGTTAGTTCTATAAGCTACCATCCGCCACAAACTTCTACACAACTGCATACAATCTCTCTATCACACCATTCCGATACTGCCGGATTTGCACACTCCATATCCCCATATCCCAAGCGCCATCCATATTGCTCTCACAACTAAGTCTAACAATCACCCCAACTAACCCACTCCTTGCGCCACATCCCACCCTTATGTGCACCCCCGCTTCCTCTCCGCCTCCCCGTCTTTATTCTCCCTACTATCCCTCCGGGAGTTCCCGCTCTCAAGCTCCACAAGCGCACCCTCCGCTTCGGTCACAATGTTCAAAAAATAATGGCAAAGCGAGCCCGACTCGTCATGCTCTCTTTTGCCACTTTTCCATAACTTTTCGGGGTGCTCCTTGAACGTCTTGCACATTAACACCACCTTGAAGAGTTGCAGGAGAGGTTTCATTTCCTACTCAGTGTGGCAGGTCCTGCACTCGTACCACTATTTTAGCCGGATGAGGATAGAGAAACAGACACATGTACGATCTGTTTTGCTAAGGGGGTGGGATTATATTGGTCCAAAGGTTATCTGAAGGGGATGGGAAGAGGGTGTGATAGCAATTATACTGTGAAAATGACGCCGATAATGCTCGCGATGGCTGGTGGTGGGCCTAGTGACAGAGTAAAGGCGTAGTCACCCATAGACCTTTTCCGGCGAGTTGCTAAAACAAGCATGAACATGTGGCGATGGTGGCGCGAGTGTGGTGAACCACCCCGGAGCGCTGTGGCAAACGCAATTTTCCCAAACGCGCCGGTCATCAAAGGATTACGCTGGGAACGCCCAAGTTGGTTCTGGAAATCAAACCGTTCTCAAATCATGCAAGCCCCACATCATAAAAACCTTCATCTACAGGTCAAAACAACTCTGGCCCCAGAGACATCCCTCTTCGAACCTACATAACCCTGATTCTACACCCCATAAAATTAATACACTAATCCTGATCCTTCTCGCAGGATGACTCTCCAATCCCATGCCGGTATATAGCTATTTACACCTCCCCCTAGGGCCCTACCAGCTAAGATGCCACCAATACGATATCAAAACAATACTCCGAACTATGGTACCCCATTGCCCCATCTAACAGGGCATTAAAAGGATATCGGATCAAACCAATTTAGTCTGTACAACCAAAAGGTCCAGCTATCATAAAATACCTGCATAGGAGGGGAAAAAAGCTTGCCAAAAACTGCTCCACTATTGCTTTTCTTGCATTGGCACCAGGGATTTCTTCTTCACTTCTTCCTTCCACCCTATCTTCTCCACGTTACTATTTCACTTTGAGCCCCTGGATGGTTATCATACCTAAACCCGGCACGCCCCAAGGATGGCAAAGGAGTCTACCCACCTAAATCCCCACAAATGCAAGATATATATGTAGGAAAGAAAAGTATGAATGGATGGGTGAAGAAAAGAGAAATAAAATCAAAAAAAACGGCAATTATTCTAACGGCTACCTTCTACTCCTCCGAAGCCTTTTCACAGCCTCTGATACCCCCTCCTGCTTTCCAAATAACTAACATGTCTTTTCAAGTACACACCTACAAACACGGGCAAGAGAATCTAGCTTAGCCTCCCACACCGCCAGCTTCAGGACGCTCGTTTATCGGTGCTTGCACTGTTCCCATACACACCCAAGAAGCTCTTGGTCTACGGTTCTTCAACGGATAGACCACTCGATCGCACTTAGCTGGTGACTGGTTCATGTCTGAGTTGTTGTAGACAAGAATACAGAAGTTGCTCTTATCATATAACTCATGTCATTTTGAAATGCCAGTGGTACAGTACACGCTATAGATGGGTAGAATCATACCAACACGTGAAAAGTGCACTATGCAAGGAGGAAAACAGGAAAACAAGAACAATGATATCTGTTATAGAAGTTTTGAACGCAAATAAATAGATATAGGGGAAGTCCGGAACAGAAATGAATGTGAAATATAAGACTGTTTCGCGAGAGAACGGCCTGGAAGTAAATGAGAGCTGCAAGAGGACGCGAAGAAATAGAATTGACATGGCCACCAGTTGTATGGGAGTTCTATGAAGAAACAAAAGTGTGATGGGAATCATTGTGGTTTTCCAGGCCCGAGTGCTCCCTGCATCCGCACATGCCCCAGAAAACAGATGCCCGGACAGGGCAACCGCATAAGGGCAAATCATAATAAGGAATTAATTTAGTGTCGCACAAGTTTTCAGGCGCAGGGAATTGGAGGGAACGACAAAGCTAAGACTTTTGGATCGGGCCTAGGAGGAAGAAACACAGTGAGGAGAGATCCCCAGATGTGTTATTCGTCCGGACCAAAGGCTAAGCTTCAGGTCTACTGAGGAGGTGGAATACTCCTCCGTCTGTAGGGTGCCTGATCTATTCAGCCCGCACCCGAAGAGTTTTGGCGTCAATTGGCCATGACGAAAAAGGGGAATAACCCCGGGTAAAAAATGCACAAGAAATCACCCAATAGCAAAAACAAAAGCGAAAGCACCAAATCCTTCAACGCCGTGCGCGAGCCACCAATCTGATACACGAGTCCCACCAAGCCAACCAAGTAGAGGGGCCCTTCACGACACCCTAAATACACCCTAAATGAGTGATATAATATGATAGAGGTACTTAGGCGGAACCCCGTGGGATTTGCTGAGCAGTTTCACCCCATGCTGGTTCCTAACATGGACACGAAGGTTGTCTTTCCTCTTGATACCCTTATCCCCGACCTTCTTGCATCCCGGGATTGGACAATCCAGGCGTTCTTCGATATGTCTCACCTGGCGGTGCCGGGATAATGCATGCTTCGTCCTAAACGGGAATTTCCAGGCGCAGCCAGGTTCATTGCACATATAACTCCCCTGGCGATGGTTCTGGGGACCACCAGGGGATGGGGAGGGCGATGGAGGAAGAGGAGTGGGGGGGAGCGGATTGCAGAGAGCAATGTACAACCCCGTGGCTGTATTGGTAGGGCACTGCCAAAGCTTAAAGGAGGTGGTGTTGCAGCCTCTGCCCGCAGGGTTGGAAATTTGGTTATCAAGGGGGAGAATTTGAGGGCGATTGCCGTGGCTCGAATGAAAGGGTGGGCCGTTAACGGAGTAAAAGCCGTCGTCATCAGGATAGAGCGGGAGATTCCCGGGCCACGGCCCTGGCGAGTGAAGCATTCCGAAATGGTTGGCGAAGGCTGCTCCACTATCGCTCATGTTATTTCCGAAGTGAAACCTGCCATCGCGTCAATAAATCCAACCCAGTACTCACGATCGATGCCTATCATCCTGAAGCCTGGTACTGCAACACTGCCTATGGAAGAATGCAAGGTCCGACCGAAAGCTAGAGGGTACGCAGAGGAGCCCTCAATCCTCGCCATGACCCGGTTAGGCTCCATCCAGGACTCAAGTGAGAACCTGCAAGATATAGAATGCGTACTCCTTAGCTTCCCGACCCAGCTGACATTTTTCCATACCCAGAAATCGGGCACTCTTGCAGATCCGTCAGCTTGTGGGCGACTTACAAAATTATGAGGTTATCCGGAGAGGCCTATGACACCCAGTGCGTCTCCTGGCTCGTGAGAGTAAGATCAGATTGTTTCCCACAAGGAGAGATACTGTGGCTGTAGATTCGGGGGAGGTGCCAGGGAAACTCTTGTTGGCCGGAGAAGGCTTTATATCAGATTCGAGATGTCGATATGTACCGTACCAGAATCCTTTGCCCATAAAGCCCAACCCACGCAGCGCGAATGAACATGGTCCGGCAGCGTGGCATCTGGCGAGAAAAGTAAAAGCTGTTGGGCCAAAGGAGGGGCGGCCTAAGGAGATTTTTCGCAAAGGATGCAAAGACATGGATCGTCTGGTCACCGACAAATCGGCAACTAGCCTCCGCGTGCCTGTGGTCCCCGAAATATTTCCTCTCGCCCCTCCATCCTGGTAAACTGCTCAGTCTATGTAATTGATGCAGGTTTCAGGCTTCGGGATGCCTAACCTTAGGATACTTCAACAGGTGTCTGCATTTTACAGGTCAATATGGAGGGGGTACAGGGGAAATATCTGCCACGTCATCCCTATATCAAAGTCTCCACGATGGCGTGAAAGCTTGGCCCAGGAGAGAGAAAAAAGGAGAGCTGCATGTGGGAAATTCTCGCACTTTACCGGACGAAGTTGCAGCCTTCTCGACGACTGAAGAGTGTGGACTCCTCAGAGAGAGGGTGGGGGGGTAGAATAATCCGGGGAGCGCGGGATTAGGTCATCAGCAGATCGGGAGGCAAGTTGAGGGGTTGCAAATTTTGGGATGGGGATCTGCGGAATCCGGTAGACCTAACTTACTTTATCAACTTGCAACGCCTATTAAAGTCGTGAGCGTACGAAAGAAATGTTTACAATACTGACCAAAGCTTCGGGTTATCTGACAGCATATTACTTCTTCTTTGTCCACTCCACATTATTCCAGTAACAGAAACCTATTAAACCTAGATCTACAGAGGGAGGCAAACAGTAGAATCGGGTGTCACCCAAATTACAGTACCAAGTAGCCCTATGGCAAGCCCTCTAAGGAGATACTAGCCACTAGTAATACCACCCTGACAAACTGACTTTAGGTATGGTAATGCAAAATCTACAAGGATACATGCAATGGAATTAAAAGAAATGGAAAGATGACCCGACTTAATCAGAAAAGGTGCCACGAGTTTACCGTGCAAGTGAAAGGGGAGCGGTAAAAGTTCAAAATCAGTATGGCAACGGGATGGTGGCACACCATGATATTCTAAGAGCCTCGTGAAGAGACGGCCATACTCTGCAATCAATAGAACAGCATCTGCACCCTCTGTCGGGGTGTTTCTATTTCCCGAACCACCCGTGCACATCCGAGGGCGTGTCGAACTCAAAAACCCCAGTTTTCTAAACGCTCTAACTTGGTATTGGGGGGATTCTGCTGCTTCGGTCCAAAAGCTCTTAGAGTAACAAAAGAGGAATCACTCCCCAGGCTTAGCCCAACAATTGTCTAGGGACTTATTATCCGTATTGTAAAGGTCGATAGCTACCTTACATCAGACCCCCCAATCACATTAATCCCAATTAGCCTTTTAACAACACATTTGATTCTTCCTTCCTACATTCTAACAGCATCAAAACCCTGTACTTTTTTCTGTAATCCATCTTGATAGATAGCCAAAGTTTTTCCCCTCATATGCCGCGCACAATATCTGTTCCAGCACTATATATTGTTTTTTTTGAAAACTTTCCCGAGATGAGAAACACTCTAGGCAGATCTATAGCCGCATAGGCAAGAGGAACTCGGCGGGTATATTCCCTAAACTCCTTGCAGAGCATTTCTCGGCCTCGCAACAAGTGCGCAGAATCACCTATGATAAAGCCCCCTATTGGTAGGATTGGTCAAGTTTGTTGCCAGAAGTTTACCTTAAGTTGTTGGATCCTTGTAGGGTAGGTAGGTCAAGCAACCGTCGACACTT